ATCTATTTAGTTAATGGATTATCGGATTCAGATCTTGATCGGGTTATCGGACTGAGATCCTAAATCTATCTCCCATTAATTTCGTCGGATTCAGATCAAAATCCAATCCATTGACAGCCCTACTTTCATTGCGCAAAATGTCTTTTTTTCTCAATTAAAAATTATGAAATGACAAATATACCATTCTCTTTAAATAAAACAAAAAGAAAAAGAAAAAAACTAATTGCAATCAGAGTCTCATTGTTTTTAAAAAGTGCAAATAAGTTACAAATAAATTATTAAAAGGATAATTAGCACATAATGTCCATACATTTCACTATTATTGTGAAAAAATCCATACCTTTTATTTTTTTGACATTTTACCCTTAATTACATATTTTATTGCGCAAGCTATAATTTCTGTCCATTTTCATCCAATTTCTCGATAAAAAGTTGTGAAATGACGAATATACCTTCCTATTAAATAAAAAGTTAAAAAATTAATTACAACCATAGTCCTAATTTTCTTAAAAAGTGCAAACAAGCCCACAATAAATTATTAAAAAATTTTAATTTTTTAAAAAAAAAGTACAAATGAGTCCCGATTAAATTTATTTAAAATTCTTAAAAAAATTAAAAAGTGCAAACGAGTCCCAAATAAATTATTAAAGAATTATAATTTTTAAAAAAAATTTAAATAGGAGTATATGTTCGTCATTTTACAGCTTTTTATTGAAAAATTGGATGAAAATTGTTAGAAATGATGGTTTGCACAATTAAATGAGTAATTAAGGGTGAAAATGACAAAAAAAATGAACTTTTTTTGCAATAATAGTGAAAGGTAAAGATATTATGTGCTAATTACCCTTTTAATAATTTATTTGTGACTTATTTACTCTTTTTTAAAAAATTGGGACTGTGATTGCAATTAATTTTTTCTTTTTCTTTTTGTTTTTATTTAAAGAGAATGATATATTTGTCATTTCATAATTTTTAATTGAGAAAATAGTTGAAAATGACTTTTGCTCAATAGAAGGAGGAAATAAGTGTGAAAATGCCAAAAAATGAAAAGTATGGACGTTTTCTACAATAATAATGAAAGGTGGAGACGTTATGTGATAATTACCCTTGTTTAAAATGTTCGACACATCATATTTGAATAAAAATTAATTCGAATGATTGGTTTCACTATCACCTGTTTGATAGATGATTTACCGTGGATGTGTGCAAGCTTTTCTTTCAAGTATAATGTCTGTGCAAGCTTTTCTTTCTTAAGTTCAGTTTCATTGTTCCTTGTACGAATTGTAGATGACCACTGCGTCATACAAGTCTCAAGCTTTTCGGCTTTATTGATTTTGGCTTTCTTACGCCGGTGTTCGTTAGGTGTTGTATTATCACGTCAATGAGTATTTGTAACTTCATCATCATCATCATCATTTTCCAAAAGTATATGCACTCCCCTGCTAAAAATTACTTTCTAGCTGCTTTTCTTTATTTGATGTTGATGGAAGTAGATATTTATATTTTACATGCTTATTTGTGTCTGGCTTGGATTGGAATGAAGGGCTTTGCTTTCCAATCAATTTTTGAGGTCGATTTACATGATTGTAATAAACTTGAATTTATATTTACAAATTTGAGTAAATTTCTACTTAATTTAATGTAAGTACTGTTATTGTAGGTAAAACCTGGACTTGGGGCATTTGGAACAAAAATGACAAATTTTTAGCCCAAATGAAGTTGAATTGGAGCAATTGAAAGCTAACACACATGATTAATAAGAAGCATTAATGAAGTAGTAGGAGGAGAGTAATAGCATCAAGAGTGAAATTTAATTTATCGAAAGTTTCGTGGACTAAATTGTACATTTTTGAAAATTGCAAGGACCAATTTTGAGAGATTATTGGAGGTCAGGGACCAACACGAAAACTTTTGAAAATTTCGAGATCAATATTGAAGATTAGTAAAAAAAAAAAAAAAAATCAAACAAAATGCTTCTTATTAATCATGATTTGCAAACAAAATTCTATGTGTAGAGTTCCTCGAGAGTCTCATCAGAGTCTTCATAAATTTTCATCATCTCTAGAATCAAGGAAATTGGAGTTGGATTGCTTTGTTTTCCCTGTGTTTTGAGTGTTTATAAACGTTAAAAATACGTTTTTAAGTTTTATGTTATAAATTTAATCTTGTATTTAAAAATATATTTTCAAAAATATCAAACCAAACAAGTCTTGAATGTTTTACAAAATTGAAAATTAAGAACAATTTGAAAACAACAAATCAAAAGTCCCCTTACTGTTTTGTTGATCTCACTAATTGGAGACTAGTTTTGGACACAAGTGTCTATTCATTGACATTCTCTAAATCGAAGTCTTTCAACTTGTAGGAGAATTCATATAATACGTCGAAGATGATCTTTGCAAAACTAACCCAATAAAACCTTCCATTGCATTTAATATTAATGAAATGTTGTGTCATATTTTATTAAAACGATATGCCATTTCAACATTTTATTCATTTAAAAGTGACATGAGATTTTTCTGTTAGTTTTACTAATGGAAGTCTGCATTGCAATAAAATTGAAGTTAGGTAACAATTTTCAGATAAATTAAAGGTTGGGGACTTCAAAAAAATTTCGCTAAAAGTTTGTACCTTGGATGAAATTAATCCTTATTAATTTGATACAAACCAGCTTGTGTTTGGGCTCCATTAAAAACTAGTTTTGAGGAAAGGAAAATTTTTGATTTCACGTGTAATATTATTTTATTAGAAAATGTGTAGCTGAAAATAAAGGAGAAAAAAAATGCATTTTTCAAAAAAATGCACTTTTCCATTACACATTCTCCCATCAATCACTATTTCAAAATTTTTCAACCCATTAAAACGGGTGCCAAACACTCCCTTAATTGATCTTTATGACTAAAATGAGTGAAAAAAATACTTTAAGGATCAATGATATAACATCAATTAATTTTAGTGACGAAATGCAATACAAAATACTTCAAGAATCCATTTGAAATACAAGATCCATAAATAAATAATTATGAAGTTTCACCTATACAAGGGTATAAAATTCAAACAACATAAGAACACACAAATTCTATAGCTACATTATATGTGGTCGACCATAATTTGATAAGCCCTTGTCAACTCACATATTATTGTTCGACTAAACCCGACTTAGACATCACTCAAAGCAAAAGGTCTAAATAAGAGAACTTGCTTCACTTTTTAACCCACCCACCCCACTCCACCCCTACAAAAATCTTATAAACACTTTCAATCTACTCTTTAGCAAACAATATGGCTTCTTTGCTTGAAGTAGGACTAATTTCATAATAGTGCTTCAAATATGCCCCCACATTCACTTTCTTGTACCCCTCATTCTCCTCCACAGGCTCAATCTCCTTTTCCAAAGGTGGGTTATAAAATAAAGCCACAGAAAATCTGTCCATATCCATTTGGTTCACTACCCTATGCCAAGGGCTCCTAACCCTACCATTGCTCATTATTTCCATCAAATCCCCAATACTCACAAGCAATCCCTCATTGGGCAATTTCACTGTAATCCATTCATTGCCCTTAAATACTTGGAGCCCATTAGAGGAATCAAATTGGAGCAAGAGAGTTAGGGCACTTGCATCAGAATGTGGGGTTATGCCCAATGTTAGGTCAGGCCTTGGGCTTGGTGGGTAGTAGTTTACTCTAACATTGATTTCACTTTTTTCTTCTTCAAAGTATTGGAGGAATGTGTGTTCATCAAGTGATAAGGACTCAGCAAGGGCTTGGAGAAGCCCATTTAAGAGTTCTCTAGCAGCTTCCACATACTTCTCTATGACTTGCCTGTCAAATGTCAATGATAATTGAATAAATTCTAGTTATCAACCATCTAAATAAATAACATTACTCAACAATTTAACACATATAACACAATATTTATATAATTTTTTATTTAATTTTTTTTTTAGTTGAACCAAACATAGATTATGCTGCTAGACACTTACCTACATGAAACGAGGGTGGAATATAAGATTTGGAATATGAAACTTCAGAAATTTTGAAACTATAAAACTAGTTGTGTGAAAAATTTACCTAAAGTTGGGTGGATTTTGAGGCCAAACATGGAGTCCTTGAGTGGCATCTCTTGGAGCAGCCTTCATCGTCAATCGATCAATCCAATCCAATGGCTGATTTTCTGATTTCACAAAATTCCTCCCATAGCCCATATTATCAACACTCATATATGATCCAACACTAGCTTTCTTCTCTTCAAAAGACAACTGGAAAAAACCCTTCACAACATCCTTAACATCATGCAATATACAAGAATCTATACCATGGTTTTTGATAAAAAACACTCCCCATTCTTTAGCAGCACTGACCAACTTGTCTAGCTCCTCCACTTTGGCCGCCCCCGACTCCGGACCGCCACCAAGTTTTGCTATATCTATGGCTGGAATATCATGACTAAAAGATTTGGAAATTGAAGCAAGTTGGATGAATCTTTGGGGAAGGTTTTTGAGGAGGGCTAAATCTTGTACTACGGGTATTCTTGTGGTTTGTGGTATACCGTTTTCGTCTATGAATTTGGTTTCATGGAAATTAATGTTGGTAGTGTCCATATTGTTTACCAAAGAATTCGAGTTCTTTGATGTGTGGTGCAAGCTTGGTTTAGATTTTTAGATGTTTGATTGTTTGGTTGTTTGGCTAAATTGGAGTATGACAAAGGTAATAAAAAATTGGGCCTGACGAAATTGAATAGATGCGACGCTTGTGGGTCATTGAGAATTAATTACTTCTAAATGAAATTGATCTCCCAATAAAAACTTCCCACAACTGATGACCAGATTTCTCAGTGGGTAGTGAAAAGTTTTTATCTTACCCACTTAGGAATATAATTTTCTTGTCACATCAACAGTGAAAATATTTTATCATACCCATTGATAAATATGTGCATAGTGGGACTTGACTGGGCACAACCCAATAAATTTTTTTATGTAAAAAAAATATTTATGAGCAAATTTTTTTTTTTTTACAAATTACTTCGACTTGTAGTTCGATCCTGAATTCGTTTTTGCCAAATAGGAGTAGAGATTACTTCCGTACTTATGAAATAAACTTTTGTTGGCATTATTTTTCATATTTACAAATTTGAGACCTCTTTATAAATATTATGTTTTTGAAATGAACTGTGACCCTTTGAAAACTTGCAAGTAAATGAGATTGTGATCAAATGATATAGTAGTGTGTAGAGTGTCGAACTCACGAGAACTACGTGTTTTATCGAGTTAAAGTTAATAATACCCTTAATCGAATAACAATAATGACTTCTAATAAATCTATATCTAACTTATCACGTACTAGAATTCAAAGTAAAAGCTTATCAAATTTTTGAGATACATTGCTAAAATGTAAAATTCCTCTTACTAATTCATTTTTAGCGCAACAATTAAAATAACTCATTGCTATCATCCGAATTGGTTGAAATTCCAAATGTTTTTAAAAGTTTCTCTTGATAGCAATTAAATCTAATCATATATATGACATTTCTATATTTCTATAAAAGATATCAATATATTAGAAAACGTTAAACGAGCTAGAACATCTAAAAAATCATGTGAAGTATAAATGTATATCTCTATCTTCTATCGGACCTCACAATACTTATTACTACGTGCTAACGATCCTGTTATCTTTCTTGATGACAATAAAATCCACAAACAATTCAACTAATGGTCAATTAATTGAAAAACAAGTTAAACCATAATAAACATCCAAACATTCAAACAAATTAATTAATATTAAAAATTTCAAAATAAGGGTTCATTTATATCTTAGCAATGTAAAAATTTAGCTTAACATAATATCGAAATTAAACAAGTAAAAGTGGATCGACATCACCAAAAATTGATGAAACGTGATTAATTCTCCAAAATGAATGCCAAAAATTTGATTTTTCTGATCCTCTCACGTGTATCCGTGTATCCGGTCTCCTTCATTTTCTCTCTTTTTGCGTTCTGTGTGTGTATATATAATATATTAAAGCATCCGCAATTTTCCAAAGCTGCCGTCCTTTTTTCAGCCTGTCTTTTGGCCCTTTTGCGTGTATTTTTTTTCTTTTTTTCCTCCTTTTGCATTCTGTGCGTGAAAAGCTAGGAGCATCAATAGTTCACTTCTTAGAGTGCTGTGATAGAATCCGTCCATACTAATGCAGCTTAGGCATCAAACATGATATATATAATTTATTAAAGCAATCGCAATTTTCCAAAGCCGTCCGCCCTTTTTTCAACCTCAGTCTTTTTTTTATTTTTACCATTTGCGTGTATTTTTTCTTTTTCTCCAAAGATGCTCCATGTTTGTGTGATATATATGTATATATACATATAGCCTAGCCACCAATATTTTGGGTCTAATTTTATGTCGAAGTTGAGGCCAATTCATTTCAATGTCCAATTAAATCAATACTTGCTTTCAAGTCATCAATTCTTTTATGTAATGCAAGCTAGTCCTTGAGTCTACATTGATTGTGCAACCAATGCCAATTTAGTCCTCGTACTTTGAATTTTGCCATTTTTCACCATATTTTGCTTCTTTCCTTCAATTCATTTTTCATTAATATAATTTCACATATTAAACATAAAATACAGCAATTTAAAATATATTTTGTCAAAAAAATTTTCAATTATTGCTATTTTAAACCCCGAATATATGTATAAAATACACTTATCAAACTGATCCGACAAAAGTTAACACAATTTCTTTTTCTTTTTTCCAAATAGGCCATCCATTGTCAACCTTAGGTTCCTCGTAGCACTTGTCATGCACTTTTCAATTCCCTAAATTAGAAATTTTGATCTCACTTGATGAGAATGCCATACTCAAGAGAACAAGTGCATTTTTTTGTTTGTTTTGACAAAAACCAATGAAATCTTGCCATGTGTTTATTTGTAAAAAAATTTGTGAAAGTTATCTGTACTTGTAACATAGTTCAACTCAAGAGGCTAAAGTTAAGGATAAGAAAGATGAGCTCGAAAAGTACCACACCACGGTTCTCCATTCGTTAAACATTGCCAAGTTGAGGAACGTACTCATTTTAATTGTGTGTCACTTGTTAAAAATCCTAAATTGAAGGTAGAAGTGTGTCATTCGTATAGGATAATGTGAGAATGATGAGAACTTTAAGTGTTGGAAATATTGGATGAAAATATCAATTACAATGAAAGTTTTAGTTTCAGCCGTTCATCCGTTTCATCTCTTCAATACTTAACTCCTCATTCAAGTAACTCCTCACTCAATGCATTAAA